GGGGGGGGGGGGGGGGGGGGGGGGGGGGGGGGGGGTTGGAAGAAAGCAGCGAGGCAAATAATGGTTTCAACACCATCCATGTTCTATTTTCAAAATAAAAACAGAAAATGATTCTCAAACTGACTTCAGAAAACACTAAATTGAAATTTAAAATTACAAGCAAAGTAGGAATCAAGAAGAACGAAACGAGTCTCAACGCTGAGTCGCAAAGCAGGCGACCAATTTGACTTATGCTCATGCCTTCGTTCTCACATTAAAATGTGTTGCGGTGCATTTAAAAACCATTAATAATCGTAATACTTCCAAAGCCTATTTTGCCTCTCTCTGCAGTGAGGCCCCAGTCATTTACTTTTTAACTTACTGTACTATGCTTAAACTCCCCGGCAGGTCGTACGGCGAATACAAGAGCGCACAATTTCCTGGAATTCCTTATGCTAATATTAATGTATTATAACGAAATTCTTACCTAAAGATATCTTGTATTAAAGCCGTAGTTTTTTTGGACCAAATTTCCTCTCACAACTGTCCAAAGTTTTGGAGTATTTTTGGAACAGTAAATCCTACTTAAAATAAAATTCGACTTTACCGATGATTTTGGCCAAACCAATCAGCACAGCACTTAAACCAATGCACCAGATTTCGTCTCTCAACTCTTTGAGGTTTCCGAGATGTTCGGAACTGCCCCCATTGCCCTTAATCATTGCCCTTAATCCGGCCCTGAGTTGGACAATTCATACCAAAATAAGATTTTCATATCGTCGAATAAGACCTGTGGAAATAAGTTCGCTCAGGCATCTCACGAACCAGGAATAAAGCAGACACCGACGCAAAGATTCCATGGAAATAAGGAATGATTCAAAGGAAATTGAGAAGTCTTCGAGGAAATCTCGGAGGAGCGGATATCATTGGATTGTTTAGAAAGAACATTCGAACTCCGATCGGTTGGATCTCGTCATTCCTCACCGGGAATGAATCATAGAACAAACGATAGAGGAACCGAGTATGGTCTGATGTTAAAGCAGTGATTATGATCGGTGCCGTGGTGAACCAGTACAAGTACAGTACAGTGTAAGCACGTGCCAAGGTTGGGTCAATGGTAGGCACTGCCTGGGTGGGCTCATAAAAACATGGCTGGCCCGAGTCCAATGGCGCCGACACGCGAATCAATTCCTGTACATGGGGCATTTTTCTCTCTCTCTCTTTCTCACTCCCACACTCTCTCTCTGTCTCTCTCTCTTCTGCTTGCGTGGGAAAGGCCTGGCGATGGTCGTTATAAATAGAAGATAAATATAGTAATATAATCATAGGTCTCTATAACTACCATGGCCTGGCCCTCCTCCATTCCCAGGTGCAAATATACAATGTAGCCTATACAGTAAGGTGCAATGAACAGTAAAGGCCATCAGGAAGCATCAATAATGCAGGACTTCTCCCAGTAATCAGATAACCTCTTCCTCCTAGACTCAGATAGTGAAATCAGATGTTGAAGTTAAATGGATCAGTTGTAAGCCCACCCATACTATTAGCTCATGTACGGTGCCCGATGTGCACGATACTGGTCAAGGTAAAGCGAAGATGAATCCGCTATGGAAAGTCCATTTCCCCTAATTCTCCGCCATCCGTCCTTACGTAGATCTGTTTAGGTCTCTACATACCGATACTCCGCCGGAAGCTTAATTGGGCCCGTGGAGACCTCTAATGACGCAGAAATGGCATCCCGCATTGGACAACCGCTCGAGAACGTAGTCTGTCCTAGTTCCATGTAGCGATTGCCGTCTCGCTCTTTTCGAGGTTTCCCACGAAATGATTTGATGTTCTGATGCATATATACTCATGGAAGAAAAACTGAATCCGATTACGGGTGATTGCGAAGTCGTCCGTATCTAGTGACCGGTGAAAGGCCAGGGTGCGACCATCCTGGGGATTTGAAAGGGGTAGAGCAGGCCTAGGCAGGTGTTGAGAGCGATGTCAGCGTCACGGGTTTACCTTTTCACGTGCCCTCTCTTGTTTTTATTCTTCCTTCTCTTCCCGACATGTCATCTTCAACGTGGAGTGCAAAAACGGTTTCCAGAGCTGTCAAGGTGAGAGATATTAGCTATATTGATAATATCCGGCGTTGCTCTAGACTAGGGATTCTCAAACTTTTCGGATCCAAGAACTCTTTTCTTGGATGCCGGTAACCAATGATTTCCAATTTTTTTGTTGTTGCAAAATAGAGACTTTTAGTACATGGTCTACTCTGTAAACATAATACACTGAAAATTTCCAGCTCTCAATTGGAAACATTACTTATGTGTTCTTACTGCTGTGGGGAGGGTGGCTGGCTCCAATAGTCCATACAGAGGAAAAAGTGGAAAAACAGAATAGCTCCCTTGTATATTTACTTTTAATCTAGAGAAGCATGAAAAAGTAGCCATACATCTTGGAAAGTTATTATTCCATGAAATGGATTTTCCTCAAAAGTCGCCCCATGGGATTCTCTGAGTTGGCTTGCTAAAGCTTCAGAATTTACTATTCTTTTGATTGTTGTATCTGGTAATTACAATATTTTAGTGATCTTGGTGCATGAACATATGCCAAAATTAAACTGTTTTTGCTGGAAAACGTTGAAAAAGGCACATTCATGAGCATATAAAACTGCAAAACTTGCAGAATGTGAAGTTAGTTTCACACTGTAGATTAGTTGCTCCACTTCCACCTGGTTTTCAACTATGTAACCTCTTAATCATCTGTTTACTTGGCTATTCTTCTCATGCAGTTTCATCTGGTCATTGGAATAAAGACAAATTAATCTGTTAATTTTCTCATGGTGGAGATGTTTTTTTTTGTTTGATGAAGCCTGAAAAAGGAAAGAGATTTGCTGCATCTTCCCATTTCCCCTGTGATCCCTTTCCAACCCACAGTTTGAGAAATCATGCTCTAGACCTAAGTTTGCATAATATGCATGGCAAATCTAGGCTGGGCAGCATCACTGATAAGCATCCATGAATACTTTAGGATCAGATCATGGCAGAGAGATGTAGATGTAGCATTGGAGAAAATGTTCAAGAGCACTTCAAATGCAGACATCATGGAGAGAGGGTATGGTAGACTCCGGAGCTTTTGGCAAGTGTCCCAAGAGGATGTCTTCATCCCCAAAGAAGTTGTTCAAGAAGTAAAGACTATCAGCTCAAAGATCTTTGAGGAAAGTTTGGAAGCATTGAAGGTGAGATTATAGTGGGCCAACAATTTGCTTTTTCCTCCAGATTGATCATAGGAGCCTTGTATGGAAATGAGTTTCTTCTCAATTTTTAGATATTGAGGGACACCATTGAATCTCATGCAAGGAATTTCAGCTTTGAAGTATGGACAGCCACAGATGATGAGAGCAAGGATCTGAAGCATGTTGGGGGATTGTTGCTCAGTGAAGACATCTCAGGCTATCAACTTCCAGTGGATGTTCACAAAGGTAGGAGACTTAATTTGAAAATGAAGATATTCATTCAAGACTTCATCATAGAGATACTGGGGCCCTTTTCATGAAACTTCTTTAACTTTTCTTTAAATTTTATTTTGGCTATATTTCAACTTGATATTTTCTTTAACTTTATTTCAGCTACATTTTGACTTTATCCAAACTCAAAATAAATAGAAAATAAAGACACCTTTGGAGGTCTCTATATCTCGACTTTAACCTCTCTGAGGGCTATGGAAACTCGCCTGTGTGTATTCTTAACAACATGCTCCAAGCATTGCATGAGCATTCTTTCTGCCACTTGTGACTTATCACTCTCTGTGTGAACACGATCATGGCTGAAAGGCTTCATCTAATTCAAAGGCAGCTTCATCAGGAAAGAGTACTTTGCAACTGAAACAGCCTCTTGGAAGAGTATGATGATGAAGGACTCAGAAAGAAATAAAGTCGAAAATACTGAAATAAAGTTAAAGAAATGATAATGAAGTTTCGTGAAAAAGGCCCCTGGTCACCCCACATAGCAGCGGGTTGCATAGAGTTGTGCTGCTATAAAGACATTACCAACATTTGTAATTATTGTCATTAGTCATCACATTTTCCAATTAACAAAATGCTGTCTCAGCAGCATATTTTAATTTTTGAATGAAATAGCTGGTCATTACTCTTGTTGAGCATGCCTGAGTGGATCTTGACTCAAGCAGGAAAATTTTGAATGATATTTATTTATATGACATGGATTGGAGCTGACCCACCACAAACAAGGACAAGTGCCCCAAGTGGCTGAACACATAGTAAAGGAAGGAAAGTCCTTGTTGAACATCCTGGGTGGCATTGCCATGCATTCACATGCTCTCTGTCACTCAGGATTTAGAAAAAGGCCACCCAGAAGAAAGACCTCCAGAATTGACAAGTGGAAAAAAGCCACCTGACACAGAAAAGCTTTGCAAAGTTTAAACCTGCTTTGGTTTGGACTAAGCAAATTGCCTTGTATCCATTTACAGCATACATCAAATAAATTCTCAAATAAAATGTCTGTATATGTGTTTTATTTAAAATTTGATTAGGATTCTTAATGCTTTCATTTGAATTTCATGAGGAAAAATATGAAATATTTTTAAAATTAATTTAATACCTTTAAAACTTAAAAGAAATGTAAAAGACTAAAAAAGATTGTCCAGGAAACAAGTGTAAAGAAAGTCTTCTTCATGTTTTGCTTTACAGGTGGGTTGATGTTTTTGTAGTGAATTTTCCCATAGAAAGTGAGGGAAAAGCCTAGGGTGATTTTTTCCCTTTTTTGCCAACACTGAGGATCTTTTTTCCAGGTGGCTTTTTCCTTAACTCCTGTCACTCTACATCTTTTCACAAGCTGAGGGAATTTTGACAACTCCAGACCCTCTACCACTACACATCAGGTCACCACAGCTGATATGGTTGGTGCAATAGAGATGTATCAAACCCCTATCTCTCCCTATGGAGTACAGAGTGGCCTATAATTGAGTCAAGAAGAGTGAGAAGTGCCTGAGAGCAGTTAGATGAACTGTTCATTCAGGAAAATAACAGTGGATTTGAACCTGGACATTCCACATGCTAGCCTGAGGTCTTTTCTGTTGAGCCACTGCAAATGACTTTTTGGAGTCACTTCTCTTAAAGGATTTATAAGATTATTGTTGCCACAAGTTTCCAAGTCACTTGAATCCTTCAGCTGAAAGAATGATGCAAAGACACTGGGCCAGGATGCAACCAGATTCAAGAAAGTCCAAAGTGACTTTAAAGAGAAAAAATTATTTAGTTTCAGGAAAAGGAAGCCATCAGTAATGGTAATGATTTCATTTTTGGGGGTATTAATGATGACCTCTACCATGCTTAACAGTATTTTGTAAGTATTAGATTAAGGCTCATATGAAGTAGGACCTAGGCTATTATATTATTAGATGAATTTCCATCCCTTCCAGGTACATACATCAAGCAGGAAATAAAATTCTCCAAAGTCCTTGATGCAGCATTTCGAGAAAATCAAAGGACAAAGAAAGGCATTAAATGGCAATATTTTGCAAGTCCTTCTGGTTTGTACAGGCGATATCCAATCCAACGGTCAGTCACTATAGCTGAAATTCATTTTATCAGCATTTTTCTCACTGCACCATGATGACACCTACTTCATTGAAAAAAATTTTCCAGTTGGCCAGATGGAGAGGGGAATGACATAGAGCCGGATGTATTTGATGTTCGCTGGCAGCCTTGGTATCTGGCAACTGCCTCTTCTCCAAAAGATATCATCATGCTCATTGACACGTAAGCTTGTTCACGGAGAGAAAATGAGTGCCATGTAGTAACAGTATATATAATAGTATAATGGTATGAAAAAAGGTGTTTGGAAATTGAGGCAAGGTGAGCTGAAAACTAAATTATTGATTTCACTGTGAATGAGTCTTTCAAAAATATGAAGAATTAATAAGTGATGGATTGAAATTTGTGGCTTTGTGACAATGAGATGGCCTGGAGGCCTATGGGATTAGCAAGTGCACATTCTGCACACAATGCATTAAGATTGGTGCTGTAGGAGTTTGGTCAAGGAGGCAGCATGGAGAGGTTCCTGTTACTCTCTATCATTACCTATGAGCAAATTTCTTAACCCTATGCAGACATTCAGATGGCAGCTTTCCTTAATTACCATATCTTTGTCTGATTTCATGGTGGTCAGACTGGAATTAAGACATATGCTTGAGCCAAATTTCCTAACCGTTGCAAATTTTTATTCTTGCAATGTACCTATCATACTTCCTTTTGAACATTTTGTTTACTTATGGATGCTGGTATTTTTCTCTTCTTGGTCAGGAGTGGTAGTGTTCATGGACAGGTTTTACAGCTCTTGAAGCTCACTGCCAAAATGCTCTTGAACACACTTGGAGAAGATGACTACATTCTCATAGCTAATGTAAGCAAATAGTCTCTGATTCATTTTTTATCTAAAATGTTGGATTGAAATATGGTCCTTATGTTATAATTACTTTCTTCAGTTTGCAGAGGATGTCCACTCCATCTCCTGTGGTGAAGAAATGGTTCCTGTCACCAAAGCCAATAGGGCTTATCTGTTCCAACAGCTTGATGAACTGAAAGATCATGGGAAGGCTGACTTCTCTCGTGCTCTACGATATGCATATAAGAAATTTGAACAGGTCCTTTAGCTGAGCCCAAATCTCTGTCAAGTAGCCTACAATGTTATTGTAGCTCTTGCTAAATTTTTACCTGGCTTGATTTACCAGCTTGCTGAAAAGATGAACCATGAACCCTGCAACCAGATGATTTTGTTCTTGAGTGATGGTGGGACAGAAGATGTGGGAGAACTGGTGAAGAGTCATCAAAAGGAGTTCAGGAAGGACGGATGTCCCATCCGCATCTTCTCTTACTCCATAGGCCCGCATCCAATCCCACAATCAGCTCTCCGCACCATGGCATGCAACTCCAATGGGACCTTCACCAGCATTCACACCATGAGTGCAGTCCGATCTCGAGTCTTGGTAGGTTCTCTCCTCACCTTTAACTTGCACTTGTTTCTCAACAGAAATTACTTCAAATGTTTTTGCTCTGATATTGGTTTGTCTTTTAGAAGTCCTATATTCCCACCCTGAATCGTCCTCTGGCCCTCTACAAAGCAAATGTGATCCCTGGTGATGTGGTTGCATGGACATCAGGATTTCCAGACCCTGGTGTAAGTCTCATTAATGCACTGCTCTTTTCTTTGTAATTGTCCACACTTCAAAATGAGACATAAAACAGGGATATGCTTGGGTAACTCTTCCATATAGTCTCTTTTGGTTTATTTCAGGTTTTGAGATTTATATATTTTGCAAGCTCAATTTTTGCTAATTTGACATTTTGCCAAATAATGATTACTGATTTACCTTGAGTGAAACTATACATTCATTATGGAATGGCCAAGGTCTCAGTTGTTATGAAATGCAGTATTTGATATTTTTCTTCATAATGCAAAATCAGGGAATCATCATGTCAGCATTTTTTGTTATGTAGGACTGGAAATTATTATAAATGATTTCTGGCAGTGTACTATAGTGTATGAAATTGATCCTGAGTCAGTACCAACTGTGTCTACTTTTCTTGTTTTTCGTGCACTTAAATGTATTTGTTTATGTTGTAACTTTACTGTTTGTTTAACTGTTGTAACTTTAGGAAGAAAGTTTTTGTTGTTTCTCTATCCCCAGTGGCTGAGTACCCCCCACATCATTGCTTCTGCATGAAGGCTTTCTGTTTGGTGATGGCCTTTGGCTCTCCCTCCTTGGTTTTTGCTTCCATTTGGCACAGTTGCATTCTTTACCCTCTTCTCTGTACTTGTGAGTTTCCACTTATTCATTTTTGTTTTCATAAGACTTCCACAGAAGGAAATTGAAATGCATTCATGCAAATTCATGCATTATTCTGTTTGATGGAATGACTTGCCTCTTGATAATCATTATGTAAGGAATACTTCATTATGCTATTGAATGCTGTGACACCTGGAAAGTAATGATCTGGCTTCCTGCACTGTCCTTTTTATCCAGTTCATATACTTTCCCACATCCATGTATATTCCTGGACTGTTGGGTCGAGCACATCCCATTCCCCATGACACAATCCCAATCAGCATTGGTGGATTCCCCATCACCATTGGTCCACCTGAATCACCCTAAGCATGAATAAAAAACAAGAATGAAGGCAAGTAATTTGGGCCCAACTTGAGATAGCATGTTGAGAGCTGAGCATGACCAGCCTACTTGGCAGGTATCCACACCACCATGCAATTGTCCTGCACAGATCATGCCATGTTTTATTTTCCCTTTATACATCCTGTTGCAGGCTTCATATCCCAACAAGGGCACTGTCAGTTTCTTCAGGATAGGAGATCCTTGTCCATATTCCCCTGTATCACCCCACCCTGATATTGTCACCTTTGTGTTGGCTGTAGTCACAAGCAGAAAAAATGCTTGCATGTGTGTTTTCTTAATTCCTTAGCCTCATACTATCTGAGGAGGCAGATAAACCTACTTTCTCTTAGTTGGTCTTCCATTGGAAATAAGGGTGGTCTGGAATTGTTATTTATGTGTATCTTGTTTGCCAAATGCAGGATACAGATGTCATTCTCATGGGTTTTCCTAGGAAAAAAGTTCAGATATGATTATATTCTCTGTGGAGTGAAGGTCAAGAAGATATTTTTAGAAAGATTTAAATGATAATGAGATTCTGACTTATTGTAGTAAGGGTGAGGAGTCAGATACTTAATATACACTTTCTGCTCATTGTGATTGAGCACATGGAAATCATGTTCACCAGCCATCAACTATGCAGAGAGATAGCATGGAATTATTCATTGCAAGAAACATATAGCCTGCATTGACTCACACAGTACCCACCGAAAGTCGGTTGACATTATTGTAGATACCTTCCCGAACACAGCAGTGAGCAGTGGTGATTGCATTCAGTTCATCATAAATCACAGCCCCACAGAAATGCATTCCATAGAGTTGGAAGGAGAGTTGCCAGGGGAATTCTCCTGGATTGGCATTTCTTCCTCCTATGATCCTGCCTTCTCTCTGATGTCCTTATTGCCCGGCAGAGAAGATAAAGCCAGACTTTATTGTGCTTTGAAAGGCAGCATTGCTGCACAGAATGAATCAGTAATACTCACCATGAATTACATGCACAGCCAGAAAGACAAGGACCAGCAAAAGAATCACCATGTCTTGAGAGTATATTCCTGTCTCTTCCTTCACTGAGAAGGGATTATTCTTGTACCCACCATGAAATTAGATGAAATGCAGTGTTCAGTGACAGTACTTGAAAAGACACATGAAGACATGTTATATCCCTCTTTCCTCTAGGATACTGTTTCTTGCACCATCTAAATTCCAATTTGGCACAGAGTATCATTTTCTTGCACTCTGTTTACTGTCACCTAGAATTGCTGCTTGTATCTATACCAGTTAACCATGTATGCCATGTCCCATGAAGGACATTTTATTTTATATAGGAGGAGATGGTACATATGAAATGAAAATTAATTTGAAAAATAATTATCGATTTAGGGTGCTGGGCTGGTGATATCCCTAACAGTCCCTGTCTTCAACTACTCTACAGACTCTTCCACTCCAGTAAGTATTATTCCCTTCTCTAAAGTGACAGGTTCATGGATGCAATGGATTTTTTTATCATCACACTTGTCAAACTGAAAGCAGATGCCTGCTTGGATGCGAATGTTTTCATTGGAAATGCGAAAATATTGAACTGTGGCCTATTGCTGATATGCCAATGTTCCAAGGTTGGGCATCGATGCCCATACCGATACCGATGCCCATTCCTGAGAATTAATTCCAATGACGACATCTATAAACACAATTAGTATCAGGAGAACTGATGCTAATACTAATTGTGATTCTTTCTTATTAATTCTTGCTTATTGCACTTTTAGACGGGTGAAATTTGCATGAAGCAAGAGATTCACCAAGTTCTAGTGGTAGGGGGGGGGGAAGGACCAACAGTACTAAAAGGTACATCACAGAAAATATAATCACAACCCTCCGATTACAGAATGCCGTTGAGTGACAATGAAGGTTCATGAGTATGGCAGAGGGGGTAAGCCTGTTCGTTATGTCAATTCCTCATGCACAAGTGGGCAGGTGATGATGTTGGAATGCGTGAGATTGTACGTCTTGTGCACCCACGGGAACGGTTTGTTAATAAGCGTACAGAAACGAGTCCCGCCCACTTTCGTCCGTGGTCTCGTCTCTGCCCCAGCCCTGATTCTCTTTTCCCTTCGTCCCTGCTTCATCGCTCCAGTGGAGTCATTTGTTCTCAAGTGGAACTCTTAATAAATTCCGCTTCCGAGAAGTTTTCCAGTTTGTTGAGCTGCATAGAAAATGGCACCATATAATTGAAAACACCGTTTTTTACTAAATTTGTGAATTTTGCATATTTTGAGTCATTGCATTTTTTAAAGTGGAATTTGTTGGGACAAAAATGGGACACACATCGTTAGAACTTTTCCTGCTGATTCCAAAAACATGTGAGATGATAGGGTTTTATGAACATGTTGACGTTTTGCAAATTTCTGAATATGCCAAAATTAGGCAAATTTAACATAGCTTTATTTCATTCAGTATCGCCTCAAGGATGAAAGTATATGAAATAACTTCAAAAGTTTAACCTTTTTAAGGAACAATGGTGTTTGTTACATTCATTTTGGTCGAAAAGTTTTGGGCCCACATGAGCATGAGGAGATATCCCCTTTTTTAAATGTCACAAAATTTAGCAAATTATTGTGCCAAAATGGCTCCATACCCAAAGCCAAAATTTTGCATTCTTACTTTGGGCCATGAGGGGTACCACATAAAAAATTTTCGTCAATATTGAAGGGGGTCATGCTCTGGCCTCTGGCTGATTTGAGATGGAATGACCCACAAACATGCCATTCAGGCATGTTCAACCTTCCTATGAGAAAGGCGATCCATCACTTACTATCCACGTTTAGCGTTTGGCACAATTCAGTTGTCCTTCCAGTACCAGTTATCAGTGTGCCATATATCACATTGCACTGATATATCTGTTACACCCAATATCGATTGATACCAATAAAACTTAAAAATGTAGTTGCATCTCTAGTTTTTATTAATTTTTAAAATGATTTTATGAAAATTCTTAGAAACTTTAAAGGGTCAAGTGATGCAATTTGGCACAGCCTAGAAGAGTGGCCCAGGCATAACTCAACATTTTTAAGAATATTGAGCACTTTTTTTGGTGAAGACACGCTCTTTGGCAGATTGTGAATACCACATCTGACATTAGATGCTCAAAATCAGTGATGTTGGTTGGTCAAGATTGCTTTTGGATGAGTCCCTCTAGGGCAGTGCTTCTCAACCGGTGTGCTGCGACAAAGTCTCTGGTGTGCTGCGGTATTTCCAAAATTATAGGAAAGGAAAGTTTTATTTTTCTGTTTTATTATTCTCTAGTCTATTCACCGGCAAAAGACTTCCTCAGCTTGCAACGGGCGATGAAATATTCGCGTTACAGATGTGTACCTGAAAAGCAACGAGATCCAGTGGAAAAACTACACAACTACACAAAAGTACACCGATGGAACTGCTGCAATGACAAGAAATGTCAAAGGGTTCATGTGACAAATGTGCAAAATCAAAACGCAAATGTTGAAATTACACACTGTTTCCTCCATCGCAAAGCTCTCATGGCAAACAGCCTGCTGGATGAGCTGAAGTCAGTTTTGGCTGAAGCTGCAAAAATTATCAACTTTATCAAATCAAGACCTCTTAAGCCTCGCCTTTTCTCCATATTTTGTGAGGAGATGGGGGCAGATCACCAGTCCCTACTTTTTCGCACAGAGGTTCTCTGGCTTTCGTGAGGCAAGGTCATGTGTATAATTTTTTAACTTAGGGATGAGGTAGAGCAGTTTCTGACATTGCACCACGAATCACAGCATGCTAGTTTGTTACAAGACAATTACTGACTGGAAGAACTAGTGTACATGGCTGACGTCTTTGAGCATCTTAATGAATTGAATTGAAAAATGCAAGGACGCAGTGAGAACGTGCTTACATATACATACTAACTAAATGCGTTCAAATCAACACTTCAGCTGTGGAGAGAAGAAATAGGACAACATTGGACATGTTCAAACAGACCAGTAACACACATCATTAAAAAAATGCTGCTGAATTTAAACATCACTTCAAGTTGACCAGCACAGAGTAGTTATGACTTCATAGTAGTTCACAATCCATTTGCTTCATCAGTGGAGGAATCAGTCAAGGACCTTTCTCTGAAGGCACGAGAGGAATTTTTAGACCTCGGGAGTGACTGCACTCTCAAACTCAAGTTCCGCGAGGTGCCACTGGACACATTTGGGCTGCAAGTGAAAAATGAGCCTGGATGAGGAACTTTGTGTAGCTCTTTCCAGCATGGAGCCGAACATTTAAAATCTCTCTCTCTAAAACGCCTCTGTTCCTCAAGACAGGTGCAAGTGTCTCACTAATGAAAGTTCGGGCCTTCAGTTTCTCACTTGATTGCTTCTGGAAACTGTTTGTTTTAAATGAATCATTTGATTGTCCTTTAATCCTTAATGACATATTTGAGGGCAGGATTTTGAAAAATAATAAGTTTATAATCTCCTTTATAGGCTGGAAGTAATCCAGCCTATAAAGGAGATTATATCTTTCATAATAAAACTTCAATTTAATGTGTTTGAAAAAATTTGTAAACCAATTGAAATATTTAAATGATTTTAAATGCACTATGTTAGTCATAATTTGTTATATCAATGTGAAAAAGGTGATTTTTTTTCTCATACTTTCATTGACAAGTGGGTGATGAGAATATTCTACCCAATGACATTGCAAAATTTGGGTTGGTGTGCCGCGAGGATTGAGCAAACTTGAAAGTGTGCAGTGACATGAAAAAGGTTGAGAAGCACTGCTCTAGGGTATACAGATAGGTTGGTCCCTATAATAGCAAAGTCTGCAGTGATCCCATGAATAGATAGCTCATGTATGTATGATTCTTATGGCAATTTGTGATTAAACTATAATGCAAATGTTATGCAGTAGTCTTTTATGAAGTCAAATAACTATCGAGTAACTTTTAGGACAGTCTATAGATCTGGTATTATAATTGGGAGAATGAAAGTTTTGTATCAAATGAACATTCACTGACGAAGTTGCAATGAAAGTTAGTTTCCTGATAAGGGTGCTCTTCTAAAGGTTGATAGAAGCAACAGAAAAGTTCTCAGAAAGAGAATCAAGAGAGAGTCATATGATGAGTAGATGTACCTCTATTGAGTGTGCAAAAATAGTAGTACCATATGGAAAGGTCTGTATGGGAAGGACTGTGATGAATAATAAAGTGATGGAAAAATGTAGGTGGTGGCTTGCTTGTCTTACAAGGCAAAAATGTATATCATTACACTGTCCACCATTCACCCTCATCTTGGCAACAGGGGTCCATTGGACCCCCATTAGGACTCCTGTTGCATGGGTTATTTTTCACAGTTTCCTACAAATTTGGTATGCATCTTTTATTGACAGTTATATATAGATCCAAAAAACAAAATTGTAAAGTTTTGATTTGCTTTTAAGAAAAAACAAACAAAGCAGTCCCTTTTTGTTGTACTCATTTTTCTCACAATAATACCTTTCCTGGATAAGGGCCAAACATGAACTTAGCTCGTGTGATTGTTTTTTCCAGGAATTCTCCAAATTTCTGGGAGTGGTTGGAGTGGATATCTCCATCAAGCATCTGATAGAAACCATCACAACTCGCAAGCAGCTTCCCCCAAATGCACTAGATTCCCCGTACTCCTATGGGTTCTTTCTGAATGAGAATGGAATCTTGGCCTATCACCCTCGCCTCCTGCCTCTCCATAAATCTCCTGTCCATGTGAGCGGGTCCATCATTTCTAGTTACACTTGTATTTTTTATATTCTTTTGTGGCAGAAAGAGACAATTTGTTTTTTTGGTGTGAGTAGCAGCCAAGTGCCTTGGGCCTGGACATCTTGGACCTGGAGCCATGGGTGAAGAAAATAAGGGATTCACTCATCAGCCGTGGGAATGGATCTCCAGATCTGGAGGCTCTTGTCCTTGCTGGTTTCAGATATGCTTTTGCCAAGAAACTTCGATACATCCACACCAACCTCCAGCCATCTCCTCTCAAGTGAGAAGCAACAAGTTTTTCTATGCTCTTTGTACAACTTTTGTTCTGCCCAAATGCTGATTGGAGAAACTACCTCTTGAATAGCTATGCACTGGTGACACTGGAGGCAGGAGACAAGAGATTCCAAGTACGGGGTCGATTCACAGATTGGAATCGGTACTCCAGTCAGGTCACAGTACAAGCTCCAAACATGTTCATTGCAAACTGGGCTTCCTGTGGTGGATCCCTGGATAACTGCTCAGGTAAGACAAGTTTCCCATGCTTGCAATCTCCTTCCACATTGAAGAATCTTGAAAGAGGTTACTTATGGGACTGAATGCTGTATTCATATTTTAACATTTGGATTCATTCATCTGAACTAGTTGGAGTTCAGGGCCATGTATTTTTCAAAACTTTTCTCATGCTGGTAATCACTTGTTACAATTGCAGATCATTTGAAGTTGGACATGGCAGCCAGTCTGGAGCTCTTGAGAAACTGGAGTAGTGTTGAAGTACATCCAAGGGCAGATGGGATTGAAAATCGATTTATCATCACAGCTGGTGGACTCACTCTCCCCCCTTCTTCCAAGTGAGTGTCCAAGCGTGAAATCAGACTTCGCTCTTATTGATGAACTGTATCTTCTTGTATCTTGATGGATTTGCAGCTCTGAACTGCACCGGAGCCAGTTCTTCACCCAGGCAGCAATGCACTCTCAGGGAATCCTTCTCAGTGTCACTGGAACCCCAGAGGATCCTCATGTTCATTTGATTAAGGCCATTCGCCCTTCAGAGGGCCCACCTACCTCTCTGGCAGCTGGTATGTGTGCTGATCAACTATCACAAGATTTAAAAAAATTTTCCCCCCTATGACTTAAAACTCTTGAGGAATTTTCTGAAATTTAAGATTTCCCATATGGATTTTCAAGAGACGCTAAGGTCCATATCTCAACCATTCACAAGTCAATCACAGCACAGCACATTCTTGAAATCTTTTTTTCACTGCATCAGTTGTTGGAGTTGGGATTGATGTGGAATACCTGAATGAGCCTGTCCAAACTCCCCTTCTACAAGTCATCCCTGATGAGAAGTCATGCCGAAATCCCAAGGAACTTCATTGCCTCATGGTGGATGAAAGTGGAACTATCATTTCATCAAATGTGGACCCTGGGGCATACATTGGCAGAAGCCTTGCCACTAAGGATAGTGGACTCATGAATGCACTAGTCAATGAGGGACTCTTCAAACGCTTGGAACTCCATGATTATGATGGGAAATGTCGCAAACGCCGAGTCACAGCTGCTGCTTCTAGATTTGAAACCTTGCTTGCTTGGGTTCCAACATTGATCTCCTATTCTTGGTGGGAGAGCATCTTGGCCACTGTTACAGGGTCAGTTTCTTTGTTCATTTAAAAGAAAGTTTTATTAGCCTTCTCAAGCCATTGCTTTATATCATACTTTTCCCACCATAGAACCTTTCCAGACTCCAATACTCTTTCCTGTCTGCACTTTTGTATAGCTTTTGTAAATGGCACTTGTATAGAAACTATGTTGCTGCTGTGGCAAGTGTTTATAAATTCACAATACTGTATTTTGTGAGTTCTGATGATAATGTATGACTGGGAGTGGGATTTATTTTCCTGAGTACCACTATCACTATTACATCATTGCTATATAATGGAGGAGAGAAAGGGAATTCTTAGCCTCTGATGCAGAAGGCACATGCAGGACAGAATGGAAGAGTTTGGGGCTCCAGTATCTGGACTGTATTTGCCCAGGGGACCTACTGCAGCCTTGCCCCCTTCATTCCCTCACTCCCTTTTACCCAGGCCATATAGTCGAGTCAATGGGAATTTGGACAGTGGAAGGAGAAGAAAAGAAATGAGAAATGAGTCATTTAGGGTCTCCCTGACCTGTGTCAGCAGATTAACTCCTACTTGCAAAGACGTTGATTTCTTTCTAATCATGACATTCTGACAAGGATGCCCCATTAGTTTTCTCTTCATACATGGAGTTTGACAAATATGTTGAAAGGAAGACAAACAGGCTTGTTATCCCATCTGGTGAGTCATCTTCAGAATCATCATCAGAGGATGCATAAAAAAAATGGCATTACATTTTATAGTAACCATTCTTGCTGTCCTTGTGAAGAAAAATTGCCTGTGGTAACCCTGTTTTTCTAAGCTGTAGATTAGGGAAGGGGACTGTCAGCTAGCTATTATTACCTCTTATGGGGTGACCTGTCAGACTTGCTGACCAACTCACCAAAATCCCAGTGACATATCCATCTATTTCCCTTCCCATACATTTTCCAAGATAGAAATGAGTAATGTTTACATGTCTGAAACAAATTTCTCTTTATCAGTGGCAAAATCCATGCTGATTCTCCCCCTTTCACTTTTTTCCACAATAAGGGAAGGAGGTGAACCAAAACCAGAAGATATCTGTCAGGATTCTGTAACTAGCCAAACATACAATGCAAGTATGCCAACAGGAATGGGACAGACTTCCAATAGGAATCCTACTCAGGTTTCTTCTTTTTTTATGTTATGCAGCCATGGTGCCTCTCAAGAGCAAAAACCATTGCTAAAGTAAAGGGTCAAAAGTAGATAAGGGGGATATTTTGTGGGGTATCTTTGGCTGATTGTTATGGATGGTTCACTCTTTGTGGAAATTATTTTTGTATGACCTCTCAGTATATGCCTTGGGCACATTTTCCACAATTTCTCTTATGTTTAGACTTTAGCTTCCATCTCATATCTCAATGTACATGTATCTGCAATGCTGCATGAAAGTGGACATGGAAGGGAGTGTGTTACAATATAGAGCCATTTTTCTTACTACATCCCCTTCTCTATCAATGACATCCATCCTGGTTTCGCAGGACAACTGTGAAAACTTAGGCACCTATAACTGTTTTCACTCTATTTTCAAACTCTGTCTGACAGCCTGTTCTCTATTCCTAGCTATTGTTGGACCTTGACACAATGCAGATTTTCTCTATCTTCACTCCATTGTTGAACTCAATTCAACCCTGACAACTAAGATAATGGCTGTTTTACCTTAAAGTGAAATTCTTGTAAATAATTAATTGTAGTTGATGAAGGATATATGTGTCAGGAAAATTGAGTAGAAAGGATTAATTTCTGATTTGATTCAGGAGATAAGAGGGAGTAGCACTATATCCACTATGTCAGCTTAAGAAATAATGGATATTGTATCATTTTGGTACTGCAAACAAAAAATATTCAGTTTTTACACCAAATGAAAGAGCTTACAAGGTTGTCACATAGCTGCTTATTCTATCTTGACTAAATTAGTTATGATTGTCCATGTGCTTCTCCTTCAGAGCATTGGAACCAGAAGTGGTGAAGAAAATAGACGAAAAGGAATCCTGCATTTTGCAAATGTCCCGTTTCTACACACCTCCTGGGTTTCGATCTACAATTCGTGGAGAATTTTCTCCAAATTGTTCTTGGGCTGACTACAAAGGGTTGAGACAACCAGATGACATAGACTGTTCTCGACGACAGTTCACAGCTCATCAGTTGACCAAAGTTCCCAATGGATTTCTCATCATTGCTGAACCTCCTTGTCCTTGTGAGAGCAGACCAATGTTATCAGATTATGAACTGGCTTCCCAGGACTCAGGCATGAGCATCAGAGGTAAGACACTCATTTGAACTGTAACTTGAAATATTACATGTCAGTCACTCAGTGCTGAACTTCCAGTTTTCCATGCATCTATAGGCATTTCCACAGTTAAATAAGGGAGAAATAACTTTTATGCTTGAGTTATCTGTTTTCTTGCAGTGAATGGAAGTCACACATGCATGATGGGAGGCCTTCGGCGAGTGCGACGATCCTCTTGCTATGCCTGCCACAGAAAGGTCTGTTCAGAGTGTATTGGATTGCTTTTTTTTGCTATATTCCCTTGTGCTTGATGATTGTCAGTGTACTCAGAGGGTTTACCCTCCTCTTTCAAAATTCCTGCACACTCCACTATTGATTGATATACATTCTCACACCCATGAAACCATTATGCTGATGAGTTTTGCTTATTAGCTGGTTTTTCTGTTTTTTTTTTTCTCCTATAGGAGGGAGACACATGTGGCTGTTCTGCCTTGAATGGATCTATTCTGCCCATGATCCTCTTCCTAGTCCTCCTCATTTGTGGGAGCAAGATCTTGTCATGAAAATTTGACTAAAGCTAGCATAGTACAAAGGAGAACTATATGCTGGAAAAGGATTAATCTTCCCTTTTCATCTTCATTTTTCACCTGAATTCCTCCCCCATGAGGCTTCTTTCCATGTCTTCATTTTCAAATCCTGTTTCCATTCATTCTCCCTTCCTTCCTTTCATTGTAGAAGTGCCTGTAGACTCCTGTGTTCATTTGATAATAATCAAAATTCCTCTCACATTCCCTCCTCACTGTAGAGTTTGCTGTGCACATTAGTCTTTAGTCCGTTTCTTGGTGGTTCTCACCAAATGTATTCTGAATCCTGATCTCAGCACATTGATAGTGATGTATAATTGTATGGCTACTGCATTTGAGAGACTGTTTTCTATCCCTGTCTTCGTTCTTGAGGACAACTGGAAGATGTTTCACCCATTCTGAGTTCTTGTGAGGATTTTTCTTTCTCCCTCACATGAAAGGACTCTTCTTTGAGTGTGTAACCCAGTGTTTACAAGATGTGATTTGCCTCATCCTCCTGAAAAAATAGCTAAGGTGTTCCTCATTGAATGTGATACTAGCAGAACATTAATTTACAAATCTTTGGACCTTTTCTGCTGAGTTTATTTATTTCCAGAGTTGCATACCTATGAGAAAGCTTTATGCCACATTTCTTCAGATCTGTTTGCTCAGGTCATGTCAAAGATAGTACATGTGATTTGATTTACAGTATTTTTTACCTTTGTGTTCTGAAACCCATTGCTGATGGTCAAGGTTTCCATGAGTTTTTTGAATAAGATTCAATATCAATGTATGTGTGTAACATTCCCCTTCATTGATGAAATGGGTGTTGACTTTTGGAGTGTCTGTGTGAGTTGCTGTTTGCTGTTAGACAAGTTATTCAAGTGATGTCTGGTGAAAACCTCAACTGTAGGATCATGCTCTCTGAAATGGCAAAAACTAAGAGTTTCAAAATACTGCTTGGTTGATGTGTTCTACCATATGTGTAACAAAATCTCACTCATGTTTTCTGAAGTTTTTATCAGTTTATACTAAGTTTGACCTTTGGAACCTCTCTTCTCCTCCCAGAGTGTTGATCCTGTATTCTGCATGGTTGGTCTCATTTGTCATTGTTGACTCCATGTCTTCTTCAGTCATTCCTTCCTTGCTTTGCAATTTATAAACTTCATGTGACTTTGAAGTGCATGTCATGACCTCTCCCTCTTTCTTAGTACAACAGTGCAAGAAAGAGCTTTTCCCTGAATTCTCCTCTAGCATTCCATGCACATTTCCCTTGTTGGTTGTTGATTCCTGCAGCTTGCATTCACTGTCATGTACATTGCTGGTGGGATTTCCAACTTACAAAGTTTTTAAAGTGTATTTCCACATTCTTGGCAGGGACAGAATGGCATTGTGGAGATATTGGGCATAGTGTGTATCTCCATGCTTGATGTTTTATGACTCTGAGTGTGTTTGCTTCTGCTGAGCTCAATCTAGAAATGAAAATCTTTACTCTATGAAAGGATCATTTAACAATAGCTTCATCCCATACTCTTAGGAATGAATCAAGTTCAGATAACACAGTATATGGAAGTCGATTGAAGGTGAAATTGAACTGAATAGAGCTCAGTTTTGAGCCATTCTCAGAGGTATCTCCCTCTGGTGAGTTTTGATGTGCTTGGCCAAGTGATCGGAGCGTCCGAAAGCCTTCCGACAGAGGGAACAAGAGAAGGGTTTCTCTCCCGTGTGAATGCGAATGTGGCGCTGAAGCTCATCCGCTCGGACGAACCGTTTCCCGCAGTGCAGCCACTGACACACGTGGCGGCGATCGTCCACGTGGGCCTTGAGGTGGCAGCGCAGCTGATTGGCCTTCTTGTAGACGCGGCGACATCCGGGGAAAGGGCAGGGGTAGGTCTTCGCCGCCCCGCGTTGGCCTCGGACGCAGGAAACGCAGTGGGCGCATCGGCATCGGCGCTGGTTGTTCGTCGTGGACGTTGGTTTCGCGTCTTCTTCGTTGGTCGTCGATGTCGTCATATTGTCCATGTGAGGGCTGATCGTGGCGGTTTGGTAGTACTCGTAGTAAGGCCAGGGCGACCACGGATGATGAACTATTTGAACGGGACCAAGCACAGATTCTGTACAGGCTGCTGATGGCGACGTCAATTGGTTGCACACTTCCTCCAGCTTTTCTATCGGCGATTGCCGGACCTGAAACGAAACGTGGGTTTCCGCTTAGCTTTCTTTCGAATTCGTTATATACCGCAACGATGATAAGAGAAAAAAAAAAAAGACAACATCGCCCTTAAACAGCGCTCAATTTCAAAAGGCCTCGACCTCGTACGCATTCTTGGACGGCTTAAACTGCTAAAGCTTGTTAAATAGCCTCGGAAAGTAGGCATTTTAAAGCGAGAAGCCCATCTGCCAGATCCAAAACATAAACCAAATGTGCGCGGGTGTAACACCCACGTAACAGCACTGCATTAGCAAGCTTTAAGCATATCTCGACCGATCTGATGATGGAAGTGGATGTCACAACATAAGGACTACTAATGTAATGTCAGTCCCATCCAGTAAAGGATGTTGCAACACAATATTGCTGATGGAAGTGACTAGTAAATGTTCTAAGAATTTGACATTGTGACAATTTTAGTTTAACTTAACCGTTGGAGGCTTGATGGACATAAGATTGCTGCGTTTCTTTCTTTCAGGTCTTCAAAACTCAGTCAAAGGTACTGAATCTGCGAGTGGAAATGGAAAATAAATCAGGATTTGCTGAGAAATAGACTGGAGTCTTTCGTGCACCGGTTTACCTCTTTCTAGTCGGCGAAGTTCAGCACAGATCCAATTAATATTTTTGAATGAGGTGACAGAGATTCATTGAGGAGGCTTGGGTACAATTTCATCTTGAGGATTTCAAGTCTGCTTTTTGTTTGTTTATTCACGGGTTGGGTATAATTTGCGAGAACTGGGAAACGAGACTCCCTCAGTCTGGGAATTCCAACGTACTGGTCAAGAGAAAAAGTGAGGACTTCGTTTTCTTGAATACCTTATGCATCAATTAGGCGTGGTTGCCCTTTTTTTTCAAGTCAAAGCCAAGATATTTGAAATGCGAAACTGGATGGGATCAGAGTCGACTGTAATCCTGTGAGAAAGAGCAAAAATCACCCACTTGTTACCCGTCTTGTGGATCTTCTCTCTTTTGATTGCCCAATTTGGACAATTAATGCTAACCTGATACGATGACGAGGCAATCCAGGATACGACTTTTAAATTTAATTAAACGTTTCCTGTCGCACCAAATCGTCGAGACTGGTCGTTAGGACAGGTTGATTTTCGGATTATTAGACCATCAGGATATTCCATTCGTTCAACCACTTCGCGCAGGATATGAGGAGACATTTGGATTTTGTCAAATGAGTTATCGAGACAATCCGTTGTTGAGCTCCTCGCCTGGACCTCGCGTCTCGGCCGATGATGAACAACAACCAAGCAAAAAGGGGGAAAATCCACCAAAATCCAAATTCACGTCTTGCCAATGTGTTGATGGAAGCCACTCTTGGTGCAAGGGACTCGATCCCACACGAAGAACTTCTATATATTGTAAAATATATTTTTGGTTATATGTATAACTTTTTTGTTGTATATATATATATATCCAAATAAAAATTTACTTGGTTCGTCCGTGGAATTTTCTCCGCGAGCCATCCGCCACGGGAGTAGATTTTCAGTGAAATTTTTCTCCATTAATTTTTTTTTCTTGATCCCGAGATTTGAAGCATCATCCAATCATGGAAAAAAATTATTAATTCTGTGAAAAGTCATTTTATGACTTGTCAATCTGAATCACGTTTTCGAGATTATTTCAGGAGAGATCGCAGTGACTTTCGGAAATTATTTACCTTCTTAACCATGAAAAAAAGAAAATAGTCGAAAGATGAGAAATACAGATCCACACTAATGGATTTGGGGATCTTTTAAAGGCTTTAAAATACGTTTGGCAATCATGTACCTCCCCTGGTGAAAAACGTGGGAAAGCGAAATGTCTTGGTTTCAAACGGATTTTTTATATATTTTTTCCTCCTTTCTGTTTCCGACTCGTCGTATCGTAATCGATGTTCGTGGTGGAATCTTTCGGAAATCTTCGCATTAAATTTCTCTGGGAGGGCTGAACGGTGATCGTTATGGCTGTCGTTACATCGTGACGACTGGTTATCGTAACGTTTCGCAAGATTTCTACATTATTGCGCACGCTTCGAATCATCGCCTCTTTTAAAAGCCATCCGTTTTAGTGTAAGTCGCATGCTTTCTTGCAAAACTTTACGCCTACTTTAGGAAGTCCCGTTTCAGGATTTCATTTCCTAATTTGCCATTTTTGGGGGACTCCCCCCCCCCTGTTTGTGCTCGGTGAACACTCGTACGCCCGTCTTGAACGCAGTCTCGGGAGTAACGTGTCAAAATGAGTCTATTTCACTTAAAACTTAGATTCCGTCGATGAAGCGGTCGAAAGCCTCTCGGCCGCATCTTCGTCTCTCATTTTCCCTTTCCAACGCGAGTTTTGAAGACACCCGTGCCCATAGATGGGAAAAAAGACTTCCGTCCCTCTAAATGGTGTGCCTGGACGAGGAACGATCGTGAATTCGAAACGGAATCGATTCACGTGGCTGCGATTGACTACGTCGTTCACTCGACTCGTGGCGTGTGGGTCCCGATGCTTCATCGAGTACATTCGGTTAGATCGGAGGACCTGTCTAATTTCGAATGCTGACAGAAGTGCCTATGTAAAAGAAAAGGAAATAATGATGAACATTTTCATCTATCTGAGATGCATTTTCAGCATCTCAGATAGATGGCTCATCGTGCCTTCAAAGATTATACGAAGAAAACGATGTTCAGGTTTTTTAAATTTGCTCGAAGTCTAATCACAGCAGGCATCTAAATATCATTGATATAACACCCTCCTTCCATTTCCATCAAACATGAGGATATGAGTGTGAAACTTCGCTCAATTTGCCATTTGGAATCTGAAACCTATGTTGGTATGAAACTCCGACATTCAGCGACTGAAATTCGCTTATGATGTGTTAGTAAGTAATGATCTTACCTGCTGCGTGTCGTGCATATCTGGCACATATTTTTGCGTAAAAAGTAAAACTACTCAGAAGAAAGTACTGTAGTGAGAGGAAACTGAACCTGTTTGGGTGGGAAGAGAAGGCGAGAAAACGGGAATGTTTCAGGCTCTTCTGCTGCGGTCAGTTTCCTTTTTCCGGAAGAGGAATTTAATGAAATTCGATACTGTTCAAATCTTACATTAACACGAAGTAGGAAAGACGAGGTGACATGCGGCCGTTTCAGACGTACTTACAGACGGATCATCTTTTAGTGATTAAAGAATATCGCCCTCATTCCGCGATGGTGTCCCCGAGGAAAGTTCCAGCGTGAAAGCATTTACTTGCATTGCAAATTGCGCATCACGATGCCAAAGACTCGGCTATAGGAATGGAATTATCGTCCCGAAAGAACTCACAGCAGTCGACGACATCTCCATGGTGACTTCCTCGAGGATCCCCGAAGGCACGACTTAGACCTTCTGGTCGCCGCATAAGAAGAAACCGACGGAGGATCTACCAGAGGACAGGGAGGCGGCACGCGATTGGTCGCTTTCCGAAGGGGGCGGGGCCTCCTGATCCGTGGACCCTGCTCATTGGTCTCCCTCCACCCCTTCTTCCATCCATTTGTTTTTTCATGCAATTTACTTCAAATTTACTTCGAAGTCAAAAGCGTAGAAAGGGTCGAAATTCGCTGTACTTCATGCTGACTTCAGATTTCGCCTTGGCTCCGTCCAGAGGAGAGCTTCAGGCCGCAAATAATTTCCAAGTCTCAATTCGAGCCGAAGAATTGCGATTGAGCAATTAAGCAAAATTCAGACGTAAAGTTTTCGCTTCAGTCAGTTCCCGAACACGAATCCAAAGGATTCTCGATGCACGAAGAAGCTTCACTGAACAAGGAATGCCCCAAAAAGTGGTGATGACATTTCCTGTTTTCATCCCCCAACGGCGAAACCGGCGAAGGTGGAAGTTGATGGATGAGGGCGACGCATGAAGACGCATTACCTCTGCTCCCGTTCCCCTGAATGCCCCCCGATGAATGTCGCCTTTCAGCCCCGCATTCCTCACTCTTCCATCATCTCCAATCACGACGAATTCAATCATGAATTTTTTTGCGTAAAAAAAAAGTAGGAGGAGCACGGTCGCCTCCCATAGAACCAAAGGTCTCGTTACAGGTTGTGCAACAGCCTTCCTGCTGCCATTCGCATTTTTTAATACGCTTTTTTATTCACCCGTTTAGAAACACGGTGTTACGTCGATTCGAATTCCAAGATCACCCGTTTTTTATTCCTATTATAGAAGATGGAAAGAAGAATGTCAATGGCAGTCCCAAATTGTATTTTTTGTGGTTTTGTATCATTCTTCTGGTTAATGATAGGGGAGGGGGAAGGGGAAGTGCAGTCTGGAAATTATGTCCCATAATTCACTTTCCCGTTCCGAAATCAATACTTTGCAAACTATAGAAAAAGAGCCAAATTCTCTCTTTGCATTAATGGATGATTGGCTACTCAGATTTTTTTTCAGTTGAGTCGTAGCAAGACAAAATTGACCTCAAACGCATTTAGCACTTCAATCCGATGGATTCCCCCCCCAATACCATCGGACGACGGTGGACGTTCTTCGGAAATTTTTCCCATTTTGAAGCAATTTTCCTCAATAAAATAGAGAACTTACACTTCGATTTCCAAAAAAAAGAGCAACTCCTTTTGGGTTCTGTGGAGTTATGAATTTTTTCGTAGACCTAAAAAAACCTGTCACAAACCTCCGGACCGAAAGTGTTAAAAAAAAAATTAGTCCACTTTTATTCCATAGTTTGATTAGAAATTCCCGAGACCTATCCAGATATTGCACACTCTTCGCGCTTCTCGTTTCCACTTCAAGGAAACAAGATCTCGAAGGAAAGTTGCAATGTACACATATACATACATATACATACTG